GCACCTTGAAGCGTGTCCGGAGACCAATAGGCAGCCAGTGCAGCTCGCGGAGGATAGATGTAATGTGGGTGTACCGAGGTGCACCCACAATCACTCACGTGGCTGCATTCTGGACAAGCTGAAGTCTCCGAATACTCTTCAAGGGCAGCCCCATGTAGAGCGCGTTACAGTAGTCCAGTCTTGAGGTCACAAGGGCATGAGTGACTAAAACAGTAAAACCAAACCTGCAGATTATTGTGCTGATCCCACAAGTGTCCTTTATTACCTGTACACAAGAGGCTACAGTGCCATATTGCTTATATGTGAAAGGCAACGATTGAAGATTAACCGGCTGTTTAGGATTTTCCCCCCAAGTGTACCATTGCCCCATAGAAAAATATATCCACAACAGGATATATTTTCCTTGACCCAGGGCAGATGTCTGTTTAAATTTATAGCAGGACAACTCTGCATTTCCTATCTCTTTTTACAAAATGTGTGCAACATACAGAAACATCCGCAGAAATTCAGAGTATAGTCCAATAACCTTGAAAGGAAGACACAATGAGGTAAGCAAGCAGCAACTTGCAAATCTTTGAAAGCAGGCTCTACAGGGCCAAACTGTACACTAAAACAGATAGTTAAAGACTGTAACACTGAGTACTAGTGCAGGCTGAACGTGACTTTGGAATGCAATGTATGGAACAATCTTTCCCAACCACCATAGATAGTGCTGCAGATTTCCAATAAAGATCCAGGTTTATCTCTCTATTCCTCCCATGTTGTTCCCATAGAGTTGCCTTTTTTCCAATTTCTGAATTTCTCGCATTCTTATCTTAATAATTAAATATAATTAAGCCTTTGTTTTTTTTCTAGTTTTAATAAATAAGATTTGTTAGGCTAACATTGTCAATTATTAAATATGATAGGAGCAATAATTTTAAAAAGTTGAGGCAACAGTTGCTGATTTTCAATCTTAAATGTCAAATGATCCCTAGGATGTCAATAGGTGTTAAGTAAATATTGCCAAGCTGATAAAGCTGGCCCCTTGTTGTCAGCAAAGCAATAACAGCTAAGAGATCCCTTTCTCTTGTTATTACATTAATAGATACAAACAAGGGAGATGTGTGGAAATAGCAAAGTACTGTGGTATTTCCCAATCCAAGGTTCATGCCACCAAGTCTTGCAAAAGAAAACTGTTCTTTTCCAGCTAGCTGGTATTGCAGGAGATTGTAGCACTTCTAGGTTGAGTGGAAATCGGTAATGTAAACATTTCTAACAGTTACACAAAAGCTATAATATTGTGCGGGGTAGATGAGGAAGTGCTGTGTCAAAGGCAGAAAAATAATTTTCTTCAACAAAAGGTTCCTTTCCTTCTTCTCTCCCGTAACAGGATAGATTATAATGAGGCTGAGATCCCCTCCAGCGTAGTGTTGATATATTGTCGGCATTAAAGTGCCCATGGCACAAACCACTAAGCCTTGCATTAACGGTCGTGGGAATATGTTTATAGCTGGCGCTCTTGGCATAAAGTAAATTACAGAATCATTTTGTTTCAGGGTTGGCTGGGATTCAAATACCACCCAAGGAAAACGACCAGAAGGCCTCTCTATGAAAGCCTGCAAAAAATTCTCTTTTCTAGTCTTGATAACCTTGCCTGGATCCCATTTCACCTTCTCTCGGTACCTATGCTCTCCGTTGGTCGCACGAAGACTAAGCAATCTTGTTTGAATGTTGGCTACTGACTTGCAACAGGACACAGCAAGATTTTTCCCTGGTGATTTCCTACCCACCTACCCCATCCCTGATATTGTCACAGTATTTTGGAACCCAGGATAATTTCCTGAATGCTCCCTCTCTTATTTGATCTTTTTCCAATTATTTTACATTTCATCTTGTCAGGAATGAGGCTATCAACAAAATAAAAACTGCTTTTCTTTCTTCTTCTCTGTGCTTCAGGCTTGGGATACACAGCTTTTGGGGGGCAAAGGTAACACTTGACCTTTTATGAATATACTGGGAGGCACGATGTAGGAGGTGACCAGGCTGAGCCTGAGGGAGGGGTCAAATGCATCCTCAGTCTCAAGTTCCTTCACGCCCACAAGAGATCTAAATTCAGTCCACCTTGAATTCCATCATCGACTCTTATCTACAGCCCATTTGCTTTGATGGTTAGTAGTTCTGATTCTTGCAGAGGGCATTAGCATATAACCTATATTCATTTGAACAGCCCAGACCCTTGATTTCCTGCACTTGACATACACAGTAACTTGTGGGCATGGCCAGGACAAAGTGGTAGGGGATGCCTGGCCAAATTTAATAGAACTGATGGTACCCACTCATTAATTAATTTTTCCTATTTTTCAGATTAAACGCTACAATTTGAGCATCCCAAATTTTGAGAGGGGGGAACAGGTGGCAAAGAGGTATGGATTATGAAACATTGCATTAATCCTTCAAAGAGTTATCCTGCCTGTAACCAAAACAAAGGATCACTATGTTTAAGCTTCCACATCTTTCTAATATGGGTCCACGCTCACATAATATGCACCAAGCAGTCTTGTGCAAAATGAAAGAAAATATATATTTCATTTTGAAGTGTGTGTGTGAGTGAGTGAGGGAGGGAGTGAGGGAGGGAGGGAGGGAGAGAGAGAGAGAGAGAGAGAGAGAGAGAGAGAGAGAGATTGTCTATTTATGCATACTTCAAGCCTGTAAATCCTATCACCAGCATTGATTTGCTCTTGGGGAAATAATACAGTTATACCTTAACAAATTGTTACAGTGAGAAGATACCAGAAATTTTTACAGTTATATTTGCTTTTATTTATGCATTATTCCAATAACTTCATAACTAGATTTGATGCAACAGAAATCCATTCACCATAAATATATCACTATGTCCGACAATTGAGGCTAACACTTCGTGCTTCTAGTGAACTTACCTTAACACTGTCACTGCTCTGACATTTGATTCAACTTCTCTTATTTCCTTCTGGCCAGCTATGCCTCTCACTTGTCTGTATTCATCAAATTCTGGGGCTCTCTGCTCTAATGCCATTTCCAAATGATTTAGGAGGGTCTAATAGCATCATCCACAGTTATTTTGGCAGAATAATTATTGGATGACTCTGCAAGATGTTATAAGCACTACTGTAGTGGGGAAATGATCTACATGGATTTTATTGGTTCCAGAAAATGACATATAATCCAGACAGCAGCATGACCATGGCCATGGAAAGGATATTTCACAAATATCTTAAGTAATAAACTTAGGTCCTCTCCCCTTGATTTTTATTCATTTATTTAACAAATGGACATAGCTTCACAGCTACCAATGGAACTCTGGGTGGCAAGCAAAAGTTAAAGCAGAAAAATCCTGTTACAAAACTGGGATGTATTACAGACTGTCTACAGTGGTATATACTCAAATCTCTGGGTTGGATCCTCTGGTTTCTCTCTGGATCCTATTTCTAGCAAGGTTTTAAAACTTTCTGTTCCTAAAATGAAGGGTTATATTTTGTCATCTTTAGCATCCCATAATGATAACAAGATCACCAGAGAAAATGCTTGCATAATTCTCTTGTTGCAATGCACCAGCCCAGATTTTTTTCTCAACAGTTTTGCTCCATAGGGGCTCAATGGGAACCAAAGTGAACATTCCAGCTGTTAGCAGTTTGGTGAAGAATTAATAAACAAAAGAAATAAATTAATATATTAATAATAGGAATTTTGTCTTACCCTTAGCAATCTGAATATGTATGGACTTCAATGCCCAGAATTCCCTGGCCAGCATGCTGGGGGAGAATTCTAGGAATTGAAGTCCACATGTTTTCTAATTGTTAAGGGTAAGAAATACTGCTCTAGAATGAAAACAAAATTTTCATAATTAAGGACCTTCTTAATTTAGCTGTGTTCTTCTATTCTTGGGTATGTTTGAGGCAGAACTTCTATCCTGCTGCTAGGTTTTCTTTTTATTTTAGTTCAAGGCCACCTCCTCACTTGGCTCCAGATTTATATCCAGCATTGACACTGAGATGAGCAGTGGAGTATTAAAAGTGTTGAAGATTAGTATTGCTACTGACCTTCAAAAAAGCACTGTTAGGTAAGCTCCCACATTGGGAGAGTGAGTACATTCAGAGAAGCATTGTTAGAGTTGTGTTTGAGAACACACAAACCAGCATACAGAGACATTGCAGTTTAAATAGGCTTTTACTATTACTATTTACTGAAAGTGCTATCATGCAATGAATTACATAGAAGAGAGAGGGCAAATCTTTGGGGCGCAGCATGTCAACAATTCAGAAAATGCCAAACCTGACTCTCTTGGCACGTCATCTCTCCCCTGAACAAAAAACAAACAATTCTCTAACACCCTCGCCCTCCCACAATCTCTCTCTAGGCCTGTGATGACGAACCTATGGAACGTGAGAGAGGTGGCACACAGCACCCACTCTGATGGCACGCGCCCCAGTTCAGCTTCGCTAGGCATGTATGTGTGCCTCCCACTGGCCAGCTGGTCTTTGGGTCCCTGCCGTGCATGCATGGGGGGCAGGGTGTGTGCATGCATGTGGGGTGGGTGCATGCGCTGGGCGGGTGGGCGCATTGCATTTTGAGGGTTCGGGTGCACATATGCTTTGGGCACTCAGTCCGGAAAAGGTTAGCCACCACTGCTCTAGGCCATCTTCAACAGAGGCACTTGGTGGCCGCACTGAAATTGAGCCTGAAGTAGAGTCTGCAGCCTAGTAGTTTTGACTCTACTCCAACTTCAGCCATAATGTCACCACTGCCTTCAAAAGGCATGAGCCGTGGGGAACACAAGATTGCCCCCTCCCAGGCCAACCCTCTCCAGGATCTGTCACACATTGCTCACCTCTTGGTGGTGTTCTCTTTCTGTTGACAGCCCCCTATAGCCTACATGAGGCTACTCCAGGTCATATGAGGCCTTTGTTCTTAAGTAGCTTCAGAGAATGCTCTTTTGTGAACCTGCGAACACTGGCTGAAAGCATGCACCATTTTTTCATGACTTTCAGAGGCTTTAGAGCCTGCGAAAGAGCACATTCCATTGTGGCCTGATCACTGCAGCCTCCAAAGATCAGACAAGAGTTGAAGAATAGTTGTTGTCGGGTGTTGGTGAACTTGGAACCCAAACAAAGGTGTGGCATGTCACCTTTGACATGTGTGTTATAGGCTCGCATCACTGAATCAGTTTTTGTAGGTAAAATTCCTACCAACCTGGCATATTCTAGATGTGTTGGAACCAGAACTCCCAAAATTTCTAGCAAGCATAGCGTGCAGTTCCAACACATATTAAAGGCATTTAATTGCAGAAGGCTGGAGAAAGGAACTGCAGTATTGTCAATGCAATGTGACACAAATAGAGATAAGCAGGATTAGAATTTAGAACTCCCAATTTGTAATCTGCCTCCTGTAATCTGTCCTGGTCATCCTCAATGTTCCCTCTAAGGTGCGCGGCTATGCGGCTGCGCACATGGCAAGAAAACACTGTGCAGCAGTTTGCAACTGCTGCGCAGTGGTTTCTACCGTCACAGGCTCCGGAAGCTGGGGAGGTCCTTTGCAAGCGGCTAGAACTGGCCGCCCGCAAAGGACCTCCCCGGACTTGTTTTGATGTGCTTTTGAGGAGTGTGCTTTTGAGGAGCCATGAGGCCGCGGGAGCCAGTAGGAAGGTGGTGGAGGGAGCAGGAGCAGGAAAAAAAGGCCCCATGCCTTCTCAAAAGCACAGCAGAGGAGGAGGAGGCGGCAGGGGTAACGCGGTGCCCAGCTCAGGTGCTCCGAGCTGAGAGGGAAGAGGCGCTGCCGCTGCCATGGGCGGGGATGCCAGCGGGATCTTTGGCGGCTTCACCTCAGCCGCAGCACCGGGCAGCAAATGTGGTGG